TTATAGTTTATTTTTAATGAGTGATTTTATGGAGGATAATCAGTTGTCCAAAATCCCATTGTACATGGCAGAAATGTGACTCCGCACTCCTGGCCACTCTGACTCTGGACAAGGTGCCCACCAACTTTACCTCATGTATGTTAACAAGCCCGCTGCTGTACACGTATTTGCAGCCGCTTATGGTACAAGGGAGACCCAAAAACCTATCGCTGCACTATTGAATTTTCAAAAGGAAAGGAAGTTGGAGGGAATGTAAGCATTAGCTGGGGACAAAGGTAGAAAAGTTTAGAAAGTCAGTAACTCAGAGGAAAAAGGAGACTATTTAAAAGCAACATATGGAAAGGCCATGATATATGTGAGCTGCAGATGAACAATGCCATGCACTGAGAAAGTGCCCACCAGCATGACTTCTGGCCTGGGTCCTGGTGATACACTGGGTAAAAGTCAGCCTTGATAAGTGCAAAGATGAGTCAAGAGAGGAGGAACAATCGAGTTAACTGGGAATGAGGTCTTTGGTGTCTAAAAGGGAGAGAGTACAGAACTACCACCAAGATTGTTGGGAAACTGTGCTTCTTTTTCATCCCCACCTTCTCTGCTTTCTACAAACTTCTGATCACCTGCTATGTATAGACTACTCAACACTGGGGATGAAAATAGCCTGCAGCTGAGCTGGAGTTGGGTGCGGGGAGGGGAAGAGCAGGTGCACCAGGCATATAGTACGGAATCTGGCACTTCTGTGTAGACCACACTTGCACTTGGAGGCCAAGGTGTCTGTGGCACCCAGGCCTTCCTGTCAGCCTTCTTAGCCATATCTCCACCTGCTCCTGTTGGTGTCAGCCTGAATTACCTAATAATCCCTAAATGCACTGGGAACTCACTTTGGAGTGAGTGCTCTTTCTTCTCTAGGGCTCTGTTCTTTCAACAGATTCCTGCCCCAGTTTAGGGGATCTGCTAAGGTTTTCTCCCAGAACCATTTTCATGGCTGCTTGGTGTAGTCCCTGACCCCAGTGCCCATGGAAAAACCTAGTGCTGAGGCTCCTGAAAGTCTGGGAAGTGGGCATTTGGGGGCTACTGGGGGATGTCTTAGCTTGTTTTCCTTTAGAAGCAGCCACGTCTACATACAGTAGATCTGAGTGTGACCCCAGAAAACTGCAGTTGGGGAATCAGGGAGTGGGACAGGGCAAGAGGGGAGCCAAGGGCTCGTGGGCCCTGCTGAAGGCTGTGGAGGGGGCTGGACTCCCCAGACACTGCCACAGTGAGTCCAGCATTATTTGCCTGTGGCACTGGACGCAGCTGCTGGATACTGGCCCCATTGCACACAGCTGCTGCTCAAGTTGGATGTGGGGGTGATGCAGCTGTGAGGCTGCAGTTAGAGCACCACAGGCCTGGGCAGCAGGGATTTAGAACCTGCACAAAGCACAAGCTGTCAGCTGGTGGCTTTCCCAAGGGGTGAAGGGGTGTGTGGTTCTCCTGTCCACTGTCCATCTCGTCCAACCTTTCTTTTCCCTTTCATATCTCTCACTCCATCACCTCCTATTTTTCATGCCACCTCTCAACATGATCACTTTGGGAACTGAGATTTCAGCACATAAGCCTGTTGGGTAGGGACCATCCCCAAACCCTAGCAGTGGATCCGAGTATGCGCATAGGCGCACGACATTATAGAAGGCTCCATGTACTTGGTGTTCATGTTGTTGGGTCCCACAGGGTTGGGATAAGTACATGATGGCATGTGCTTGGAAGTTGTGGCCTTCATTGTGCGGGGCTGTGGGAGAGATGGTTTATGGCAAGACTTGGAGGACTTTGCCTAACATTTCCCAAAGGAGGCAGAGGGCAGCCATTGAAAGGGTTTAAGCATGACAGTGTTAGGGTTAGATTTGGATTTTCAAGTGATTCATGCTAGAGTTGATGTAGAGTGTAGTGGAGAGTGTGTTAGTCTAGTGGAGGCACCCATTACAAGTGAGTATAGCAGTGAGAGAGTCTCTTCTTCACATAAAACGGTGTGTGGGCCTCCGTGGTCCAGGTCAGTTCAGTGGCACAGTGGTGCCATTAAATCACAGAGTTCATCTTTCTCTTGGGATCCTCAAGTCACTGACCTGGGCTTCCACTTGGCCTCTCATCTTGGAGAGCTGCTTTAGTTCTGGGCGGTGGACCAGCGATACTTTGCCAATTAGAGAAGATCGTTTCTAGAAGCCCCTGACATCCTGCTGCCAGGCCGCATGGGCCAAGCTCACTTTGTTGGGATGGCTGGAGTTGCATTCTCAGTCCTCAGGGCAGAGGTAGCATCTCCATCAAGGAGGCGGGAGTTGGAATGAGTAGGGTGGATTCCACCAAAGTGTACCCTAGAACAACCAGAGGAAGAAACCTCCAGGGTCTGCTACTGAGGTGTGGGTGAGAGATGTGATTCTTATCCAGGCTCCTCTTCTCCCCCTAAACCACCGCTGGTCTCTACTGTTTTGTAATCAGACACAGTTTCCAGACCTTCACCTGCTCCGGTCCACTGTTCTCATGCCCCCTGTCCTGCAGAGTGTCAGCAACACCAGGTGCCTAAGACAGGCTCTAGGTACTGCTCATCCCTTGCAGAGTGTGGGGTCTCTTAGGCCTCTTCTGTTAACCCTGGCTGAGAGTGTGTGTGTGCTTGTTTGTTTTTGGTTGGCTCGTGCTGTTAACCGGGCTAAGTTTATTGTAAGCTCTCATTCTCAGGTCCTTTTTTCTGTGAACATATCTATTCCTGGCATGTCACCCACATATTGAATTGAATCTCAGGGTGAATTCTGTTATAAAGTGAAACATCATTTTAAAAGCAAAAAATTCCAAGATGTTGTCTCTCCCTTTCTATAGCATCTGTTATATTCTGTTATAGTTACAGATGTGCATCACCCAATATGTAGGCTACAAAACCACTTCTGTGACTTAGGCAAATTGTGGACCTTTGGAAATATTGTTGTTACAGCCTTTAAAAAGTAAAGTACAGTAAAGCAAAAACTGCTGTAAAGACTGATGCATATCAAGGCTCTCACAATATAGGCACTGGCAGCAGCTTAGAGACCATTGGTCTCAAGGTGTGGCCTCACAGAAGTCCCGTGTTCTTCAAGGATGGACATAAGTGCTGGTCCTCGACTTTGGGCCTTGGAGGGCAGGCGTGCAGTTCTGTCTGGCTGTTGATTTCATCTGCTCATTTTTTCTCATGTTTGATGTTAGTCCCTAAGACTGTTTCTACTGGGATGATCCCAGCACCTAGATTTTAGGGCAAGTATCAGTAACTTTCATTTCTAGGACACAGAGGATCAGAATGTGTGTTTTGATTACTCTGTTTCACTAGCCCAGTGTTTTCCTTGCCTCATGTAGAGAGAGCTTTCCCTTACCGGCACGCCTTCCTGGGAGGTCACCCTTCCCAGGTTACCTCTTTGCAGGGTTATGCATTGCACTGGTTCCAAATTCACCTCCTTGATAAACACACTTTCCAGCTCTTTCCAGACTCTCTCCTCATGCCTGCCCACCTGCCCATGTGTCCTGCACCCATGGATCCACCCCATACCTATCTTAGATGGAGGTAAAATTAAATCACTGCCTGTGCTCTTGTTGTGTGTTCTAAACAAGGATTCTTAGGTGGTTGTATTAGATTTTGTGACTGTGGTTCTGAGAGAACACTCCCTTCTCTTCCTTCTCACTTAGGGCTCCCAAAGTGTGCATTCAAGAGTGTTCCTTGTTGCTCACTGCCATGTTGAAGCTTTCCTTACCCCTCAGGCTGATGCCACCTTTCCCGTGTGAAGGCCACTGTTGTCCTGTCTGTGGCTGATGTGTTCGTGGTGTCACATGTGTCATTCTGTTCATTCTCCATGATGGTGGCACAGATTTAAAGCATGAATTCAGTCCAGCTATTCCCTGGATGAGATGGCTTTGGTGGGTGGCCTCCCAGAGGCTCAAATGGGAATCTGTGGGTCCCAGAGGGCCCAGACACATTTTGCTTGACTCTCATTGTTTTAAAAAATTCCAGATTAGAGTCAGCCTTGAAAAATAAGATTTCAGGCAAGAACCTGGACGTCTAGTCTCCCTTTGAACCATTAGAAGATGTGACCATCGCACCACGTGGCTGAGGGTCCTTGGCAGGAGCCAGGCCTGTGCTGGTCACTTGAACCCACACCACAGTTTTGCTTCCTCGTGCTACTTCCCTGGACTCCACGATCATTGGAGGTTCACCCCTTGGCATTCACCAAAGGAAGATTCTAGGTTTCTCGTGGGCACAGAGGCCTTCTAGGGCCCAGCTTAACCTGGTTAACTAAAGGGTTGCCTGTCCATGGAGCATTTCTGACCTTGTAGGTAGACCTTGTCCTCTCACCTTCTGTTCCTTCCTGCATCATTCAGTGTGGAGTAAACAGCTCTTGATTGTACTTGCTTGTCTGCATGTCTGTTACTCCCACTGGGCAGTGGAGCACTAGAGGGCAGGGCATGCCCTTGCTGCTTTATGTCTGCCATGTCTGGCACAGGGAAGGTACCAATAAGTGATAAGTGTAAATGGAGTAAGGGAATGGTTTCTTTCTTGGGCTGTGAGTCTTGGGGACCTTACATCTTCTCGGCGGTATTGCTTATTAATGATTATGAAATCTGCTGGGCTTCGTGAAAATAGGACTAGAGACTATGCTGTTTTATCCAGCAGTGTATTCCAGGTACCCAGTGTGGGCCTGGGTTGGTTGCCATGGATATACATTGCACTGTGTGAACAAAGAGCCAGAGATGGTGCCCATGGTGATGCAGGGAGCCTGTGTGGCTCTGTGGGCCAAGGACAGAGAGATGTATCTATCTCCTTGCCTGTCACCATCCGGTAACACATCACTTTGGTCTTCAACTCTGTCACTGATCTGGAAGGATAGTTTTTTTTTTTGTTTGTTTCCAGGGATCAAACTCAGGTCCTTGCACTTGCAAGGCAGGTGGTAGAACCACTGAGCTACATCCCCGGCCCTGGAAGGATAGTGTTTTAAATCTTGGTGTTTGCTCCCTAGGTAATGAGTCAGACCTTGAAGTAGAAAAGAAGTATAAGGAAGATGATCGAGAAAAGGCTCCCAAAAGACCTCGGTCCCAGAAAACAGAGAAAGTTCAGAAAATCTCAGGAAAAGAGGCGCAGCAGCTCTCTGGAGTGAAGAAACCCATCATCAGTGTTGTTTTAACTGCTCATGAAGCCATTCCAGGTAATCACAACAGGCGGGAAAGGACACAAGAGGTGTTGGCACAGCTGTCCCCAGGGGACTAGATGGGTTGGCCTGGTTTGGAGCACTGTCCTGAACCCGTGTTCTAGGGTGGCCCTTTCTTGGATAGTGCTGTCGTTTCATCACCTGTGAATTTGGGACAATGCCAGACCTACTTACTGCCCAGGGCTGTGCATGGGTCCTGTGTTGAGGGGAGGTAGCCAAGGTGCTGCCACCCCTGTGGCCTTGGCCAGACATGGCTGTTACACAAGTGGGGACCTCAGTCCTCTGTGGGAAGTCTCTGTTCCTGCCCAGCGCTCCCCTCCTGGCTCAGGCAGGGACAGGCGAACTCTGCCTAACTTCTTTGCATTTTTAGTGGGATTTGTTAAATACTTTGTGATACTAGATGTTTTTGTCTCTATTTACTTTCATGAACTAGCAGGTACACAATACTGTCATTTTTAAAATAATCTCTTCCAGGATGAGACACTTAAGACAAGTAATATATCACAACATACTTCAAAATATAACATTTTCTTTCTTCTTTTCCTTATCCATTTGAAGTCATAGCTATCAAATGAAAGATAAAGTGAAGGATTTTTAAGAACAGTTATTGCCTTTTAAACACCTATTTTCAATGCTAATAGTAGCTTATTATTTAAAGTAAAAGCAGTGACTACATTTTTTTCTTCTATACTTCACTACAGAGTAAAGTGGTTAGTAGAAAACAGACATATAAAATTAGGAGACAGCAACTTTCTGCAGTCACTCCATCTCTCCTATTCTCCTTCAGAACTGTGTTATTCTGGCAAATGAAAAGTTGCAGAGCAGAATTTCTGATTCCCAGTGGTCACTAGTGAAAGTCCAGTTTTCC